AGTGTACAGCCCACAGAAACTAAAGGCCACGACAATCCATCCCTCGTATCTTGAAGAGTACAGTTCTCGTGCTTTTTTCACATTTCAACGGATGCTGAAAAATGTAGCAAGCCCTCACGGAAATTTCAGTGATGGACTCTTGCTGTCAAATTTCTAAATGGTCCTGTTTCTCTTCTCAAGTCCAGTGGTGAATGTTAAGTGCTGGTCCTAAAACCATCCAGATCACACTGCACCATTCTCCCCTGAAATGAGTTCCAAGTGCAGACGAAAGGAAGCAGCCATCATTTTAGTGTCATCATGGGCATGCCAGAGGATCCCAAGTTTTAGCAAAGGTGAACAGGGGGCCCTGGAATTGCCTTGCTCATCGAATTCTCTTCAGTGGGCAACTTTTGTTCCCATCAAAATAGTAGGAGACCAAAAAAATTCATCAGGAAGTGTGTTGCAATTTCATAGACTGACAGATGGAGGCATGTAGCAATACATCTTTTATTACTTCCCCTGACAGCTACAGATTGCATGCTGAGTTTAACGGGACTGATACACACATTCTGCAGGTGTACTGTTGAGAGAAAATATTTGGGACATTTTTCTGGCTATCACAGAAATAAAGCACCTAGGTCTGGAAAGAAATTCTCAGGTAGTCCAAAGAATGTTTCTCCCTACAGTTTCAAACACTCCCTCTAGTCACATAACCCTAACAAAGGTATTTTAATGCACAGTAAATTTATTTTCAAACATGAATAGACCAGCCTGCATTAAATGTTTCTCTTCTGGAGGGATGACAAAGTAATTCAAAAAATAAGGGAATGTATTTCTTTACTAAAGCATCAGGCTTCATTAAGGACTATATTTATGTTATATGTAAATAAACACCTCGGGATAATTAAACTTGATGTTCTAGATTTTATTTTTATAGTTAAGAAACAAATTGTGTTGTACCTTTATGGCAGTTCTAGCTGGTAAGTACCCACAGCTTAGAGAGTCTAGTTCTTCACTAGCCAGTCACACTGACATTGAGTTGCATCTGATGAAAGGGCCTTCCCAGGGGCACTCACACTCGATAGGCACATTGGGCAGATTAGAGAGCTTTCAGACAAACAGAAGAAAAGATCATTTTCTACCCCCAGTTTCAGGCGGCACAGGTATATCATCTAACAAAAACAAGGTTTCTCTGAGGAATATGGACTATGTTTCCACCCAAATAGCTACTCTGCCATATCTGCAAGATGCTGAAAAAGAAATAAAGCTGGTCACATTTTCCTTATGTCCTGATTATCTCCACATTTAGGGTACAAGTGGGGTTCCCACCTCCCAGAAGACAGCTCTGATGTCGATGGGCAGCAAAAGTGGAAGTGGGATGATCATAAGAATTAATCCACATGGGCTGAAAAATGGTGATATAAATGTATTTACCTAATATCATATATGGGAATAAATAATAATTAATATGCGAATATATTTACAACATACTTCATTATACACATATGTTTTGAAATATAACATCAAACTTCCCATACCAAACTGAAGTCTAGTTGACATACTACGAGGGCATTTAATCAGGCAGCTTTCATTAATGTAAGTGGGAAACACAGACCCCAAACAATCCCTGGAAATCCTTTAAATTTAAAAAGCTTGCTTCAGAAAATCCAAGACATTGTCTTTTGTGAACCTGGATGATGACCAGGACAGAGCACATAGCTAGTGGAGTTGATCTACAGAGTGCTGCAAACCAGCCAAACAGTGTGGCTGCCTCACAGAAAGGGAAGTTACATTCTGCCTCCGACTCAGAGCTTCTGGCAACACAAGGTGACCAGTCTCCTGAAACACCCCAGGTCAACGTATTTGCGATGTTCAATTTTATGCATCAACTTGGCAGGGCCATGGGTGTCCACATGTTTGGTATTTGGTCAAACATTATTCTAGGTGAGTCTCTCAGGATGTTATTGGATGACTTTAGTATTTGCATTGACAGACAAAGCAGACGATCCTCCCTAGGACCCATCCAGTCAGAGAACAAAAAGGCTAACCCTTTTCCAAATAAGGGGGAATTCCTCCTGCCTGACTGGCTCTGAGCTGGGACTCAGCTTTTTCCTGACTTTGGACTTGATACTCTTCCTGGGTCTTGAGCCTCTCCTGTCTCCAGTGTGCTGACTACAGATCCTGGGACTGCTTGACTTCCATAATCAAATGAGCCAATACCCTTATAAGAAATCATATATATTACATATACTTACTTGTAATATATTAAACACACAAATATATTAAAATATATTTAATTAAATACATTAAATAAGAAGCCTCTTATTTAAGGGCCTATTTCTCCAGAGAACTCTAGTACCATATTATAAGGAAAAATAAAACCTTCCCTATGGAGCAACCAAATAAAGACATCTGGGGATGTCTCTTTGAGCACTAAGAGGACAAAGCGGAAGAGGCCACAGCAGCCAACAAGCAGTGACGTTATGAGAAAGTGTGTATCACTTGAAAATACAGCATCACTAAAATGTTCCTACTTGGTTGGCCTAAGAGGCATGGAATAGGTAACCACAAGTGTACCAGATGGGAAAGGGCGGTAGGGAGTTATCGAGGGAGGAAAGGCTGGACCAAAGAGAAGACCTGCTCAAAGATGAGTTGCTTTTTCCCTGAAAAAATTATCATTCACGCAAATTCATACAGCAGCCCCTGTTCCAATCTACGCTAACTCATACCACTGTGAGCACTGCCACTCCCTCCAAGGCTAGAGCTGGGCACACACACACACACACACAACTGCTAAACCTCAAGCCCTTATCATGTATTGTAAGTAATAGCTAATCAAGTTGTAAAGAATTTCTGCTTTTTCATTCTTGTTGATTTAAATGCCAAGGTGTTTCTGAACTACCTCACAAATTTTTGTTCTCACAACACCCACAAATACTTCAAACCAAACTTGATTGGGTTCACAGAGAGTAGAGCTAAAGGTATCAAAGGAAAGACTTGTGGATTCAGAAAACTCCCAGGATCACAGCCACTCTTTTCCAATGCACAAGCTGAAGACTTTCCAAGAAAGCTTACGACTGACTGGGTGTGTGGAGGATCGTGATGTGAAAGGAAATTTAGGATTCACTACTTACTATCATGGATAAAGACCTAACTATTTGTTCAGGTTTGGGGTGAGTGCTCACAACTCTTGTGTTCTATCCCCTGCAGGCTCCCCAGCAAAGTCTTCTGTCTTTGGCCAGCTCCATATTGTCAGCCTGCACAAAAGGAGGCAGATTTTGAGATAAGCGTGTAACCGGGCAGGTCTGACAAGCGCCGAGCTGAGTTGCCTGTGTGTTTCAGCACCTCTCTTGCCCTCTCTCTCTCTCACTTTGAAAGTCCTTTTTCTTCCCAGGGGTTAAGAACAGAGGCTCTGGAGCCCAACTCCAGGACTGAACACTCTTTCTGACACTTACTAGCTGCGTATCACTGTAAGTTATTTACTGCTTTGTGACTCAGTTTTTTCAGCAGCCAAATGTGGAAAACAGTAGTAACTAGCAGACGAGACTGAGGATGAAATGATTCCCGTATGACAAGCTCCTGAAGCAGATCTAACATGTGATGCATCTCCATCAGTGCCAGCCCTCCTGACCCTGTGGGGTTTCAGACTCAGTCTCCTGATCCCCGCAGGTGGGAAGTTGCTCTGGGCTCGTCCATAGCATTTATCGTGCTGTCTAGAAAACACCCATTTACCAGCCCACATCCCTCCAGACTGAAAAGGAATCACACCTTCGTTTTCATCTTTGCCAGCACCCAGTGCAATGCTTAGTACACAGCAGATACCGTTTCTGAGGACTGCGTGCTTGAAGGGAGGGCCTCGGCCAGCAAGGCAAGCATGTGACCTAGCGGCCGCTGCTTATGAAGAGCAACTTCAGTGCAGCAAAGCTCCAGGGAGAATTCTGCAGAGAAAAACCCACAATTCACCCTTAGGGTGTAGGATCAAGTCCTGGGATTTTTAATTTCTTTAAATTTATTTGCTTTGAAATCTTTCAGATAAGGTAACTTTTGTTTACATACTTGTCCCTTTTAAAGGCATAGAGAAGTAAGCTTAACAAAGAGCTGACTGAATCAATGTTTCTTCTGCCCCAGGGGACCAAAATTCTGGAAATGTTTATGAGCAATCTCAACAGGTTACATTTAATTATAAGTTATGCAAAATACATACTTATTACTCCTAAAGAGTAACATCTTTCCAAATACAAACAAAGGCAAAGGATCACAGACCAAGGACAAAGCCTACATTATTGAGGCCTGGCTCCTCAAATGGATACTTGCCGTAAATAAACAAGGGATGACAAGATGGCTGGAAGACTAACCCTGATCTTAGTTAACTGATTTGATCTGTTTCAAAAAACCTTCTGCTGAAAGTGCTTTTCTTATGAAACATCTGCTCAAAAGCAAGTCGAGACACATTCGGAGTTCCTCTGAACAAGACCCAAGGTGTTTACTGAGGGGACAGAGGAAGCAGACAGACAGACAGGCACGCGTGGGTCCCCTTTCAGACCACAGTTAAGCAACTCAGTGAAAGAGCTTTTGCTTGTGTGATTTTTGTTATTCCCTTATGAAACACACACAGATGTTTCTGTCAGATTACAGATGTCACTGTCAGGTCAGATTAATAAAAGCCATATTCTCCAGCCAAGCATAAAGAAAACAAGTAATAAAGGAATTCAAATATACAAATTCCATAATAGATAAGAACAGGTAAATTCACATTTTGTTTCTGGCCACATACACTTCTCATTCAGTTAAAAGAATCTGGGAAGATGAGTCTAAATTCACCTACCATTTAGAATAATGATGGCTAAAGAAACTCCTAGAAAACAACACTTCTAAGGATTGTGGTGGGGAAAGAGAACACCTGAATTGAATATTAAATGAAATGAGCTATACCAAGAACCAAGATGAAGATTCCTGAGAGGTTCAGCTAGTTTAGTTACGCAAAAGACAAGCGGGAAGCAGGCACCCAGAGCCTTACTCACCACAATATCCTCAGGGAAGGTGTCCCTGCTGAAGGAGCCATCATCAAACACAACCTCATAAAAGGTCTGCGCCGTCACGGCGATAACCCTGCAGCTGTAGTACCGAGTGTTCCGATGCTTCGTGATGACCGTCTGCCCCACAGAGATGCCCTTCTCACCAGCCTTGGATTTCTAAGGATGGAGAAGAGAAAGAGGAGAGAGGACAGAAAATAGAAGAAATATTTATTTAGGAGATAATCATTAGTATGATCATGATATATACTTTTAATTTTTAGACCTTTTATTGGGGGATAATTTCAAACTTAAAAGTTTTAAGAATATGAAAACAAAAACATAAACATACTCTTTGTATGTGCGTATGCATTTATGTCCAAACCATATATCATGGGCTTTTATACCTAAATACATCAGTGTGTATTTTATACAGGGATTTTCCTTTACATAACCACAGCACAGTTACTAACTTTAATAAATTTAACATGGAAGCCACCCTTTAATTGATGACGCATATTCCAATTTTGTCAACTGAGCGAATAATGATCTTTATGTGCCCCCATTGTTTATGTACAGGATCCAGTCTCAAGTCAGGTACTGCATTTAGCTGCCAAGTTCTTTTGACCCCCTGTAAACTGGAACATTTCCACAGCTTTTCTTTGTCCTTTATGATCATGATACTTTTGAAGGATTCAGCTCTCCCTGCCCCTGTTTTTTCAACGGAGTATCTGGCTGATGTTTCCTCATGATTAGAGTCTGGTATACATTCCTGGCCAGAATACCACACAGACAACGCTGTCATCATCTCAAGAAACCACATCTGGAGGCACATGTTTATCTGCCTTTCAATGGTGATATTAACTTTGATCCTGGTCAAAGAGCAGTCCAATTTTTCCACTTTATAATCACTACTTTTCCCTTCTAGCTAATAAGCAATCTGTGGGAGAGCCTTTAACAGCACACAAATATCCTGCTCCTCCACACTTCCACTTAGACTTAGCATCCACTGATGAATCTTGCTTGATCCAGTTTTACTGTGATGGGGATGATATGCCGACTTCTCCTGCTCCAGGACTTCCCCCACAGTTACTGGTTGGCACCTGGCAGTTATTAAGCAAAAACCTCCTACTCTCCCCACATCCACCCATCCATCTGTCATCAGTATGGGATTTCTAACTCCTGCTTCACAACTGTTTACAATTCATACTATAATCAATTATTTTGGTGCTCAGATTATCCCAGATTTGGCCAGCAGAAGCCTCTTTAATCTGTTTCCTATGTCCCTTAAGACGTCCTTTTATTTTTTAGCAGTTTCTTCCTTTCTGGCCTCATAAAAGTCTCAAGATCATCTTGCCTCAGCCCTGGAATTAGCATTTCCCTGAGGAATGTGGTTCATTTTTGTGGGCAGTGACATTAGAGAATAAGATCCAGGTGCTTAGGTGTGCTTATTACTACAAAGACATCTTTGCTTCTTGACCCTTTCAGAAGTCAGAGCAAAGAAATATGTGGATGTGTATAAATATATATACTTACATGCACACACATACATACACACACACACACACACTTTCATACATACAGGTATACATGTACATACATATAACCAAGGAAAACCATGGACTAGGTCTCAGAGTATATACCATGCTATGAAGTAGAAGACTTCAGGATAAACACTTTGGGAAGATGCTTGGCAGAATGCTAGGCTCATGGCAAGTACTCCAGACATTTTAGCTTGCTGTATTTGGGGCTTTCTATTTGTTTGCAATTTGTTTTTCAGAATAAAGCTGTTGCTCCCCTGTTAGAAACTCACACAAACCTCATTCCTGCCAGGTACAGAGGGAAGTCACCATCTTACAAGGAGGTCTGCTCAGTCCCTTTTACTCCTTATCTCCAAGTCTCATTCATCAACCTGACTCTTGAAGCCACAAGCTCTGACTCACTAGGGGGCTCCTGAATCAAGTACTTGGGAAGGCCCAGCACCGTTGCTAAATGGGCCCTACAAGGCACAAGTCTCATAATCCCCAAGATACCAACATTAGTCTGACATGTCATTCTAACCTACAGAAAGCCAGGATTCATTAACCCAGTGTCTTCTGGCAGGGGTATTTATTTTTTATTTATTTATTTATTTTTAGGGTTTTTTTTCCATTTATTTTTATTAGTTGGAGGCTAATTACTTTACAACATTGCAGTGGTTTTTGTCATACATTGAAATGAATTAACCATGGATTTACATGTATTCCCCATGTAAAAGAATGGGGAACGGGATGGGGAATACAGAATCTTGGTTTTAATTAGAGGCTTTACTTCTTTATTCCTTGTATTTCAAAAAAGGCTAAAACACCTTGTAGGAAACAGATAAAGTGCTATGCTTAAACTTTTCCTCCTGTAAACCAAAGAAGAAATGCCCAGAGAGTCACTGACTCACTGGTTCCTTCAACAGTCATGTGCTGCTATTCAGGGGACACCAAGCGCCTCCCTGGGTGCTCTGGACTCCAACCAAAACCAACAAGACTTGACTCCCATTCCCCGGAAGAGGCCCACACAAGTACGTGCTGAGAAGTCATCTTTCAGGTGGCGTGACTCAGGACTGACGATATTCTAGCATGTCTTCACACTTACAGGCAGAATTAGGGAACCAGTAAGGGCATTAGCAAAAGCCTAGAAGCAGGAAACCACCCACTCTGTTCTGGGAACTGCAAGAGATCCTGCCTTGTATGGGAGGTGAAGCAGGAGAAAGAAGAGTTTAGAAATGGCCTGGGGCTGAGAGGTCAGGCTATGGGGGAGAGGGAGAAGTAGGGCAGCTCTCACACTATTCTAAGGAGTCTAGACATTGCCCTGTGGGCCTAAGGGAGCCACTGAGAGGTTTAAGTACAGAAGAAAAATGATCCAGGTCTGTGTGACTTCAAGGGGAGAAAGGGCATCTCCAGGTGGGAGATGAGGGCCTGGAATACAGAACCACAAAGATGCTCGTGGTTTGGACCAAAGGTCCCCTAGATGTGTTCCTAAAGGTCCCCTCTTCGCAGAGTGAGCTCTGCCATCTAGTTTCTCACATGCCTAACCAAATAAAAGGATATTTTTCTTCCTTGAAATCATTCCCTACTGACTGATTGCTAGGTTGGCTGGAAAATTTTTCTCTGACTTTAGGTGTGGTTAGGTGTGTAAACGTTTTGCCAAAGCACAAGAGGAAGGAGCCTGTAGTGATTTAAACACACTGTGCTTGAAGCAGAAATCTTTAACAGCTGGGCCACAGTACCTTACATATGCCAAAATGACTCCCTAGTTTCCTGCTTTATTCCTCTGTCCAACCATTTTAAATATATCTAACCTTTCAAAGCAAGAGAGCAACTCAGATGTAATAATAAATTTGAGTGGAGGCACAGTTTGTAGAATTCTGGAACTCCGAAATTAAGCCTATGACTGCTTCCTAAAATTGTACTGGTTATAACTGCCTCTAGGAGGTGAAGTTCACAACCTGGGTGACTGAACACAGAGGCTCTGAGTGACCTGGATTAAGGCCAAAGGGGGCTTTATATTGGTAGTGTATTTTTTCAAACGCTGTCCCTTTTTGTCAAATGGCCTTAAAAAAACACTCATAGTCAGAATGGCGTGTAGTGTATTTTACTATGATATTAATTTCTTCGTGAATGCATATTTTATTAAAATTGGAACTCACCCTCTAAGGAAAGAAAGTTTTGGATTTGAATTATAAGCTCATCTTCATACTAACCATGTGATCATAAGGATGTTACATAACCTTTATCAGCCTCAGTTTGCTCATCTGCAGAAGGAATAGTAACACTTACATTAAAGGTCTGCTATGAAATAATATCAAGTACATAAAATGTCTAGACTCACAAGCAATTAGTTCTCAGCAACTGGTAAGTGGCTTCATTATAAGAAGAGACTATATATGAGACCCTAGCCCCAGGTAAATAAACCACTCCGCTCTACAGGACCCCAGTAACTGGCGTGTAGGACAGCGCAGTGCCCTGGTTTCTTTTTTTTTTTTTTTCTTGCAAAAAAAGGGAAGTTTATTGCTGACTCGAGTCAGGGCTCCTGCCGCGCGTCCAACGCGGTGGTACGGGGTCAGAGAGCGCTGAGCCCAAGCTGTTACCCAATTTATAATGTGTGCATAAGCAGTTGGTAGCTGGCTTAAGTGTATTGGTTACATGTTTGCAAAGTAATCTTATCGGCCCAAACCTTCGTGGGCTTTTTTCAAACTTGGGCATTCGCAGGCTTTTCAGCTTTCCCCTGATAGGTTCCCTTTTTCTTGCTAGGCGCATGTTGATTGGCTGGCTCCAGGTTACCTGATGGGGGCGGGGAATCCCACCATTTCAGGGGAAACCGAAACCCAGGTCCGGGCCGCCTGCCAGCCCTGGCAGCCCCATAATTTTAACTGCTAAGGATGTCTCTTTTTTTATTTTTTGAGAAATATATTATGTGCTTTGGAAAATTCAGTCATTTAAAAATATGTATTTGAAGTGAAAATTTCTGACATGTTAGAAGTTGATGGTGCCTGATACACAGCTTGTGCCACAAGTGATTTTCCATTGTATAAAGCAACCACTGAATTAAAAGAATCTGTCTTGCTCAATTGCTCCCTGAGGTCAAATAGTCCAAGAGCAATTCAGATTCCCTTCTGAATCACAGAAGTTCTGTTAATATTACACAGAATGGGGAATTCCAAGATGGTCCTTTTAATGATAGTCTAAATGGTGGCTGATTTAAGTCCCACTGTTCATTACTGTTATTCATTCCTGTAAAGGATGAACTTGGATTACATCAACCTTTGACCCATTGGTTCTGTCACTGTTACCCACTGATAATGATTCATCATTAGTGATAAAAATGATGGAAAAAGAGTTANAGCAGACATTGTTTTGAGAATGGTGGCATCTAAGCCTGACACGACTCAGAAAACTCAAGTGTTTAGCAATACAATGTCTAATCTGAAATTACACCCATAGTAACATCTGTATATTTTTCAGCATGTCTGAATCATAGCTGAGTACTCTATTTTGACTTTTAATTGTAAAATTTTTTTTTAATAGCCAAAGCAGATGGCACCATTAATGATGTCAGTGTTTCTCTAGGTATGAGAAGATGGAAGAATTGGGACTCATAAAATCTCTTGAAGAGATCTAACTATCTGAAGGCCTGTTTTGCCAGTTTTT